AAAAATACGATTTTTGTAAAAAAATTCTTTTTTATATTTTTAACTTTATAATGCTATAACTTTTTGAAAGATGTATGGATCAATATAAATTTTTTTTTATAGATGCATGATGTCTTTGCCTATTATTTGGTATATTTTTTTTATAAATCTGACTTTTTACCAGCCTACAGGGGGGGATTTAAAATGACCACTTTTTCACAATAAATTTACTTTTTCAACTTAAATTTTGAAAGTGTTCCGGAAAGTCTGACACTTTTATATATATCTTAAATTAAAGCTAATGTAATTTACTTTATTAAGCGAAAAAAAATTTCGGACTTTATTTTATCTTCACGGTGAAAATGGCTACCGAATGCTATTATTGTGTGAAAATTCTCGATTTTATTTTTTACATTTTTAACTTTATAATGCTATAACATATTGAAAAGTGTATGGATCAACATTATTTTTTTATGTGAAATAATATTTTTTAATAATTCGACATACTTTATCTTAATTAGGATATTAATAATGAACTAGCAGATCATGTAGTTTTTGGAATAGTCCACCAATTTTTTAAAATTAAACACTATCTAAAGATTTGCATCGAAGCGTTTTTTTTTTATAGTGATTTTAATCACTGTCAGATATCATTATACTTGATCTATCTATACCACGTCACCACTGTGCCGCGACCCCCCTGTGCTGAGTTTTTTATTATTTTTATTATTATATGTATACAAGGTGATCGGTTTATCATGAACCATTTGATTACTCGCAAAATAAATACAATATTGCAAAAAAAAATTTAATTTCTTGATTTATCAGCTAATAATTACTTTTAAAAATCATCTCTTATAACTTAGAGGAACTTAAACTTTATTTTTTGTTAATGGAAACATACATATTTAACTAGCGTATGAAATTGAAAATAATCTTATTAAAACAAATCTACACGAGCAGAGACAGCAAAGATTTTATACATTATGTGCATTACATTAACAACAGCCAGAAAGTTAACGAAACAGTAATCGTCTATTAAATGGATTCTGTGGAAAACGTACATTTTACGCATAGCAACAGTCGAGCGCATACGTCATTAGGCACACTCGTACAGCTCCCTCGTAATAATAAGACCAACGTAGAGTATTTAGTCATCCATCAGGCAATGTTTATTAAAAATTCGTTTTTAATACATACGAGTCTCGAGGCCGTAATCACCTGAGAGCGAAATACAAATAAAAAACACATCGGAATTTTTTCAAAATTTTTAAATAATATTTTACGTTGCTGTTTTTTTATATGGGTTATATTTATATGTAATAAAACTCTTTAAAATAATTTTAAAAAGGAATTAAATATTTTTACACTTTATTATATTGTAGTATTCTTCAGGTGTTAGATTTGTAGGAAATATGTTATACAAGTACTATTTATTTTATACATTTAATGGTGAAGTTTGTATTTTAATACTAACAAAATTGAACACATTAGAATTCTATGTACTCTTTCTCAACTACTAAAAATAATTGGACCACATTTAAAAAATTTAATATATTCCTAAATAAATAAAGTAAATTTGCGTGGTTGCTACGTTTATTTCTGGTTAAGTGTAGAGGACCCGAAATTTATTCACCGATGTAAGTGTAAACATTTACACTTATATCATTTTTTTCTTCAAATTTTCTTATGTCGGTTAGAAGTAAAGGTATTCGCAAACCTCGAGTATTCAAAACTGTATAATAATGTGGATACGACTCTGGTTTAGTCGCATCCACATTACGCGACTGAACCGGAAATAAACTAGCAACCACACTCTAATAAAAGCAATCTTCCTCCCTACATTTAATATTTACAATTGAATTTTTTCGAAAAAATTTTTTTGGTAAATTAAAATGACACCCACCCCTTAATGGATCATACGTGAAAGTATTAATATCTAAGAAAACAACACCTCTGAATACCCACCCACTGCCTTGAGTTTCTACCTCTTCGGACTTTTTCTGTAGTAGATATATAATAGTAGTAACCCACTCGGGGATACTACTCGACGGTGTTAAAATAAATGGGGAAATACTAAGTGTTTGAGTAATAACGGGTGTGTTTACATTATTATTGCTTAAAATTATTTTTTCATACGTAGTAACTAGATCTAAAGATGTCTTCACAGCTGTATGTGTTGTTATAGCATTTTCAAATACATCATAAATGCTATTACTGTTTTGTTTGATAAATTCATTTATGTTCTCCGAAAAAATCAATTGAACTTTTTTCGCACGCGAAATTTTTACACAATCACCTGAAATATAATTAATATCGTTATTAATTTATGTATTATATTATTCAAATTCACATTTTTATCTTACTATTTGTTTTTGATTGATTAGAGTGATACATGTGTTCTATTCCAGTTCCGATCGTTTTGTTATTTTGACCTAATAATATAGAGTATTTTTTTATAAATTCCACTTGATAAAAATTTATTAAAAATTAATTACTTTGAATTATGACTTACTAATATCCTCAAACTCGATATCTTCTGAAAACCGGTCAATCCCTAAAAAAATATTATATGACTATAACATTTATTGGTTTTTTTATTTTTATTATTTTATACTAACAACTTTCGATATCACCAGGATAAACGGTTACCACTTGAACGTCCATTGAATTTGCATCTATCTTATTTGCAGCTTTTAGCACTGATATAATAATAAATTGCATCTATCTTATTTGCAGCTTCTAGCACTGAAATAATAATAATAATAATAATTATATAATAATAAATATTTGAAAGTATTCCGGAAATACTGACACTTTTATATATATCTTAAATTAAAGCTTATGTAAAATACATTAATTTGAAAAAAAAAATTTGACCTCTGGATTTGTCTTCATGGTAAAAATGACTACTGTATTCAAGAATATGCTATTTTTGTGTTAAAATTCTATTTTGGTTTTGTATTTTTTTTTTTTTTTTAATACCTGATAAGGGGAGTACATATTTTCATAAATATTATATAAATAAAAAATTGATATAGCATAGAAAGTTAAACTTATTTAAATTTTTTAGCTTTTTGAAATCGAGAAAAATAATTTTGAAATTTGAACTAGCTTAAATAGCCAATTTTTTCAGTCGATGTTGCGACGTACGGTTACCGAGTCGGTCATACTTGTGTTATACGCGCTTGAGGTGCATGGTTCCAACCCGCGTATGGCAATGAATTTTTTGCATTTTTTCTTAATTCTTTTTAAATTAGAATAAATTTTTCAACTGCTTTGATTTTTATCTCATGTAGATTCAATAACTTAAATAAAGATCAAGGATCCCATCACTGTAGTCGCCACTCGCGAGAAAAAATTTTTTATTCATATTAAAATTATTTTACTATATTTTAACTTTTAGCTTCGATGCAAAGCTGAGAAGATATTTTTTTGTGACTATCATTTATTTTCTCTGCTCTAACTTGGCCTACTTTTTTCAACGATACGTCAAATGACAATAATGCGTATCTAGTTGAAGATATTACACTCAAAAATTTAAAAAAAAATTCTAATTTATCAATTAAACAATTAGTTATTCTATGTTCTATATAATGACAATTAAAATCATTCATTTTTAATGTTTTCAAAGTATTCATGAACGAATTAAGTTTGATATGATAGGTTTCAACTACAAAATTAAATCATTTTACTTTGTAATTTAATAATTTTTTTACTCTATTTGAGTGTGCTACTACTAGACTATAATATTACAAATTTTTTGGTTACATGTTAATATATAAATCATTTCTAAAAAATATGATTGTTAGTTTCTCCTGAATTAATAATGGATTTTTCATGGCGCATTGAAAAGAAAGGGTCGCCAACCCACTGGGCGAGACAATGTATTGTCGGACCACAGTAGGATTTTGAAAAAAAATTAAATATTGTAAATTAAAAGCAATTTAAGATAAAAAAAGAAATATAAAAGGAATAAAGATTATCGTCGTTGATAGTCGGTGTACACCAAAACCTCGTGACAGTTGTACGATCCGATTACAAAAAAAGCGTGTCAGATGAAAGGGGTATATAAAAATTTATTATAAAAAATAATAATATTGATCCATACATTTTTCCAAAAGTTATATAAAATATAAATTAAATAATAATAAATATAAAATCAAGAATTTTTTCACGGAAATCGTACGTTTTTCTTTAACTTTGTTGTCCATTTTCACCACGAATTCCAGAGGTCAAATTCTTTTTTTTTCAAATTAAAGTATACTACATAACCTTTAATTTAAAATATAAATAAAAGTGTTAGTTTTTCCGGAACATTTTCAAAAGTTAAGTTGAAATAGTTCATTTTTTGTAAAAAAGTTACCATTTTGAAACCCTTCCTGTGGGCTTGTAAAGAGTCAAATGTTCACAAAAATATATAAAATGATAGAACAATTTCTAAGGTATCTATAAAAAAAAAACCTAAATTGATTCGTTCATTTTTCAAAAAGTTATGGCAACTTTAAGTAAAAAAAATTGAAAAAATATCGAAAATTAGCGATTTTTTCTATTGTAACTAGATAAATAGTATATAAATATACTATTTATATAATATACAATAAATATATTGTAAATAGTTATAACTATCACAGTTTTTAATTTAAGTACTTAAATAAATAACCAACATGTATCCGATCATCCGAACATGTATCAACTTAGCGGGCGTCAACATAATTAATGTTTCACACAGACAAATTATTTTAATCCGATATATTTTCGATCACCGATATTTTTAGTTATAAAACGAGAAGAATTATAATAATATAAGATCGAGGCAAAAAAACACAAAGACCGCATTTAATTCATGCTGTGTAACCGATCACAGCAAAAAGGATGAAGAACAACTGATTTTTGGCAAGCACTGTCACTACGCGATGCCACAATATGTTGGTGGTGGAAACGGCTGATAAGAACCAATTGTCTCCCCGACGCCTTGTCGCCTGGCTCGAACAATTTGTGAAACTTTAAGGAGTAAAACACGCAAATATTAATAATATTTATAATATTCGCACTTACCTATGTTTCTTTTCGTAAAAGTCTGAATTAATCTTGTATTAATTTCTCAGTTCAGTGTTAACAATTGTTTGTAGGATCTGTTTGTTGTATCTTGTGTTTATTTCGATTAATTATATTTATGTATGTATCAGATTTTAATAATTAATACGCTCTTTTATTACCTCGATAATATACGTCGTTCATAAAATACACAATTAAAATGGATTCTCTACAATAGGTCTACGTGTATTATTATTTGATACTTTTCAAACTTTTTTATATAATATATTAGGTTTTACTAATAACATTGAAAGGTTATAAATATTATAAAAAAATCAAACTAATTGGCCGTAACGAAAAATTTGTAACTTTCATGGCGCATTGAAAAGAAAGGGTCGCCAACCCACTGGGCGAGACAATGTATTGTCGGACCACAGTAGGATTTTAAAAAAAAATTAAATATTGTAAATTAAAAGCAATTTAAGATAAAAAAAGAAATATAAAAGGAATAAAGATTAAAGTTGATGTCCGTTGAGTCGTTGATAGTCGTTGTACACCAAAACCCGTGACAGTTGTCACATAACCATAATAATGAGGGATGACCTTATACAAGGCCGTTGCCCGTACCTTATAAACTAGGGGAGTTGATTTTTGAAAGGAAAAAAATACACGAGTCTATTGAGGATGGAACACGCAAAAAAAAAATAAGATGATAGTTAAGTTAAATATAAGACGAAAATTAGCGTACCAGTACGCATTCGGCTCAACACAAATATATATATACAAATAGACAAAAAAATGAATAGATAATTTTTGTCACGTTACAATATTTTCGATAAATTCCCTGTAGTCGATATCGATGTCCTTAAAACTCACTCTAAACTTGTCAAAATAAAATCATAAGAATATGTCTATCTATATTCAAAATATAATCAACAAGACTGTGATGGCTCAGCGTTTCTCAGCGTAAAACCTTGGTTGGCGTAGAGATAGTTAACCTCGTTAATATATATTAAATATTATGTCAACTGCTTATGCGTTACCAAAAAGGCAGGACATAACCGTAAACTTGGCGGGTACACACTCAGAGGATATTTTTAATATCTTCCATTCAATGTTCGTCATTTTAAGTTCATCAGACTTTGTTGTAGCCCACAATCCACAAGCATACAAGACTACTAGTTTATCAGTACTTTGTAAATAGTAACTTTTGTCATCTATCATAAAATCTTCAATTTAAATATGGTAACCTATTCAAAATAATATCTGTTTTCCCCAGCTAATCTTAGTTATAATTCTGCGTGGTTATTTGCATCATTGTTAATATACAATCCTCGGCATTTAAAAATTATCTACTCTCCGGAAATTATAATCTCCAATATCACTATGTCCCCTCTATGCTAATCTTAGTTACGTCCATGTATTTTATTTTATCCTCTTTTATTTTTAATTCGATTCTCCAATTTTATAATAAATTTCTTGTAGTTACTTAATTAGTTTTACTAATATTTTACTAGTGATGGATCTACAATCTATAGAAATTAGACAAAAATAGCTATGGAAAAAAGAGCATTTATGCAAAAAAGAGAACGACTTACAAACAAAAAACTTAATATAAAGGCGAAAAAAATATTTTGTCAAAGCTATGTCTAAAGCGTATTATTATATGGCTGTGAAACATGGACCATCAATGAACATGATAAGAAGAAGTTGGAAGCCATGGAAATGTGGACATACATGATGATTGTCGAAAATTAGCTGAACAGAAATGAAAAGTAACGTAGATATATTAAACAAAATATGAGGAAAAATGGAATCTGTTAAACACCATAAAAGAAATAAAGAGGAAAATAATTAGTCACCTACTAAGGCACAATTCATTTATGACAAATATATTTGAAGGACAAATAAATGAACACAAAGGTAGAGGCAGACCGAGGAAAGGAAACGATAAGACAAGCTGACTGTAGTCGATACATAGACACGAAAAGACTGGCTTTTAACAGAGAAAACCAGACTTGCAAAGACAAGTCAAGGCCTTTAGTAGAGAAGAAAAAGATAAAATATCATTATATATCTAATTTTTCGAGAAAAATAACTATTTAAAAGTAAAATATTTTATTTATAACCTGCCAATAATTGAGCTTTTAATCATAAACTGATCAATCTGTATATGATTGTAAGTATACAAATTTTTAATTGAATAAAATATTTTATTTACAAAAAAAAATTTAAATATTTATTTTACATAACAATATTTATTTGTTAATTTTTTACTGGAGTGTTTAAGGCAATGCGACGTTTCCCACAATGCCCATAACAAAATATTACATCCTCTATGGAAAGCGGAATTTTCCCAAAAGTTAGTGATATAGTGACATTGTATGTTATTGTAAATATACTCAATTTGTTTTTTTCGTAAAATATTTTATTAACAAATACATAACTTCAATATTTATACTACGCAACAATATTTTTTTTTTAATTTTTGACTAGAATGTTTAAGGCAATGTGACGTTTTCCTACAGTGCCCATATTAAATATTACATCCTTATAACAAGATATGTTTTTTTCGTCTCCAAAGACATTCTTCTAAAATAATAAAGTAAAATTATAATCAATAAAAGTACTTTTCTTATTAGATTAAACTTTCATACTAAATCAAAACTAAACGTTTGGTAGTTTTGGGTATCAACTATAGACCCACGCTTAGCCTTATGATTGTACCATCTAATATATCCATTAACTGGGCCAGTAATGATAGGAGGTTTTATTAACTCATCTTTTATTTTTATTTTGATAGCCTTTGGAGGATCAATGGATGCATCCAGACGAAATGTAACAATCGTTCCTCTTTTTAAAAATCCAAATGCAGAGATTATATCTTTCTAATAAGCAAATTAGATAATTAAAATAAATTATGATTTTAGTACTATAAATATTATAAGATTCCATACAGATAAAAAATCGTATCGCAATCCATTCAAAAGTGATGATACCAATCCATGTTGATTATCTTTATAAACCCAAGCAAGGTATCCAACTAGGCGATTATTTTCCATGTAAGCTTTTTCACGATCGCCCATAATTTCAACATCGATTGCAAGGGGCGGCGTTGATGAGGATAACGAAAACCGTACTGTTTTGGAATAATGAATCAAAGATTTTTCACTTATTATATCATCCTAGAACAAAAATAATTAAAATATTTCATGATATAGTACAATTTTAAGTTAAAATTCCCATACTAAATCGAATTCGTAGTGTAGTCCATCTAATGAATTATATAAACGACCTTTCATCATATCATTTGGATAATTTAAAATATATCCTTCTAACCGACAAGGCATAGTAGTCTCATTATTTTCCATTATATTAGCTTCCTCAGCTCTAAATACAGACGCTATATCAGAAGAAGCAGCTGTTAAATTATCAATCTTAATATGATCGTTTAATGTAAATTTTGATTTCAAGGGTGGATCCGAATCAATCATTCCGTGATATTTGTAGGAACCCATGAAGTTTTCCAAATCTTGTAAGATTTGGTCGACAGAATTTCGAATTACTTCTGAAATAATTTTGGTAACTTCTGAATTGTTTTTTGTCTCTTCAGAAGCATTGTTAATTTCTTCCGAATCTTTTAACAAAACCTCTGTAGTACTTTTTTTAGAAGTTGTGTCATTTTCAACTAACGAGCATGTGGAACACCCTAAGAAAATCGAATTAGTTAGACATTTAAAATTATTAAAATATAACCCAATACATCTTGAGTAAAATAAATAATGTCGCGTGAGTCATAAGTCAGAATGCTGTGGATATCAATACTATTAATTAGGATTAGAATATAAAATTTTGTATTTCAATACAAAAACTTTTTTACCATTTTCAATCTTTCCCATTATATTAGTTTCCTCATTTTTCCGTGATTCGGAGGCTATATCGGTATTTGCATCATTTTTATAGGAACTTATCATCAAGTTTTCCAAATCTTTTTTAATGTTATCAGTAGAATTTTGAACTATTTCTAAAGCTATTTTGATATCATTCGAGGTATTTTTAATTTCTTTTAAACCATTTTGGATCTCTATATTTATATTTTTTATTTCATCTGTTACATTTTTCATTACTTCCAAAGTCTTTAATAGAGCCTCCAGGGTATTTTTTTTTGTAGAAGTGTTTTTTTCTACTAATGAACACTTTGAAGACCCTAAAAAAAATGAATAGGTTAACGACTTATAAAAATTATTACAATATAATCCAATACATCACGACTGAAAACATAATGTATTTGTTATATTGTTATCTAATATATTTCACATGCCAAATAATGTATCATTGTTTTTAAATTTGAGAGCTCGTTGTAAAAAAATGTCAAAAAACTGTAATAATTAACATTTTGAGAAAACGCAGAATAGTTGAAAAACTAATCCACGGTAATTTCAGAGATTTATTAATCGTAAAAATGATAATAAATTGCTCAGTATAATAGCCAGGATAATAAAACAGACTCTATAGCCAATTTATTTTAAAAATAATTTTTCTTTGTAATAAACGAACAGCATTTAATTCGACATAACAAATATTATTTTATTCAACATTAGTCAACAATTATGTTACAAATAGCCATTATATGTAGTGCTGTTTATTAGGAATAATAAATGAAATATAAGTTGATTTTGCTTTTGGAATAATCCACCAATTTCTTAAAATTAAACATTATCTACGGATTTGCATCGAAAAGTTTCTTATGATTTGTGATTTTAATCACTGTCAGATATAATCTATACTTGTCTCAATTATGCCACGTCCACACAGTGTCGCGATATTTATGGGAGAGTATGTCTCGTAGTGCCTAGTGTTTAACATTTAGCACCATAATATTTTTTTTTGCTCAACATTAGTCAAAAATTATATTATTGGATTTTGATTTTTAAATGTAATCTGATTGTTATAATTGTGTATATACTATAGTTTATCTTTACTCTTTTGGCCCTGCAGACATTTTTTATTAGTAAAAAAAATTTTTTAATTAAAAAAAAAATGCTAAATGTCTCCGGGAATCGAACCCGATCTCTAGAGCGTGAGACATACGCGTTACCAACCGTATGACCTACACATTAGTTAAATCGGTAATCCCATCATCATGACCTCCCCTTGTAGATAAATTTCAAATATACTTTACCTGGTGTATCATTCTTTTTCTTAAAAAATCGCATACATTTACGTAAACTCATGTACAATGTGTTCTTCGATTTCATTATCTTCATAAAATATCACTTGTTCATTGATTTATACCACTTTAGAAAAATTAATATTGATATCTATGTATTATAAACAAATGTGGAGAAAAGTAACCATAGTAATTAATTATTATTTATAAATTACTGTCTAAGAAGGCAGAAATTTATGATAATAAACCTGAACACTAGAACCCTTCAGTTTCAGTTAATTCAGGAATATTTTAGCTACGAACGAAGCTGAGAAGGTATTAAATTCACTAACGCTCTTTTTTTGTTTTTTATTTTGATTAATTTTTTTTTTTTTTTTTTTGTTTCTTGTAACATCACAACTAGTACAAGATATTACGCTCAAAGTGAAAAAAATCGCCTTTAAAAATTAAAAGTTGCTTAACTAGCTTTCTCCATATAGGCAATAAAAATCTATTATAGTCTTATTGCGACCAAATGTCGGTTGGGTTGGGTTTGTAGTCGGTCTTAGAATTTCGCTCGGATAAAAATTTATTTTAGTTGTTTGAATAATTTGTTTTTATAAAAAAAATCATATTGGTTTATAGAATTTGTGGTATAATCCATGGGAAGACATAGCTATTTAATTTAAAAATTATTCTTAAACCTGATATTTACATGAATTTTTTAACATTGCATGTGGCTATAAGAATATTATGTTCAACAAAAATGTCTAAAAAAAATGAAAATATTGAATATGTCAATAATCTGTTGCTTCATTTTTTTTCCATCGATCTGCCAAGATCGTGGGTTTAATAACCCCGAAGACCCTAGTTATCACAATAGGGGTATTTAACACGAACCACTACTTTTAACCAGTTATGACTTCAGTTAGTTTGTACCGGTGAACCTTGCCAAATCTGCTTACATATTATAGTACCCCTGATGGCCTTTAATATACAAAAAAAAATGATTTAGCTGATGCATCTAATATCAATCTGTTGTTATTAATAAATAACACACTGGGTACAGTAATATTATTTAAGATAACAGTTTAATGTATTTTTACTTATGTTAGTATAGTACAAGGTCAAAGGGACACATTCCTTTTACGATTATGTTGTTTTACTCAATGCAGCCTATTGTATACATGTTTACAGTTTTAGTCGTAGTTTCGCCGTCTATCAAGTAAAGTGACTCGTTGCCGTTGTACATCTCTTATATTATATGTTTTGATATTTTATATTAAATACTATTATATTACGAATAATTTCTAAATCTTTTAATTACATAACCCATTCCATTCAACACAATCCTTTAATAATAAAATTTAAAGTAATTCCATTATATCGAATCCCATTTTCAGACATTTCTTTAGCTTCTATTATAAAATCATGAAAAAATTCATTGGCATCATCAGGCTTACATATTTTACTATAGTACAGTCCTACAATATAAAAAATGACTGAAACCATAAATAGAGCATTCTACTCTAATCTGCTAATAATCTGCTTACTAATAACGAATAGACACCCATAATTCAGTCATTCCAAGGGAGAATTTCCAAATGTGTTTTTTGATTATTCATGTTATCGTTGTATTACATCGAGTCGGTTTTTCTCTCTATGTTACCATTGTTGCAGCCATCTTAACGCTTCTTCTGTTATAAGCTCTATGGCGTTTTGCGAGCTAGTAGTTTTTTTGTATTCGTTTTTACTGTAAAAAGAAAATATCACCTTTGCGATTTTCGTACCCTGTGCGCTCAGTTTTATCGCCGTTGGTTCTATATATTTTCTGAGATACATCACAATACCTTGGACAGCATATTGTACACTTTGGTCAGCAACTTGCATTCGACAATTGATCCTTTCAATATTCAGCATTATCATCAGCCGTTTTCATTTAGCAGATAAGTATAATGCTTGTTCATTTATCTTTCTAAAACTCACTTGTATAANGAATGCTTGTTCATTTATCTTTCTTAGACTCACTTGTATAATTTATTATTTGTTTATATCATCGCCTTTGTAGCATTAGTATTAAGTGTCCCCCTATCCACATTGGTGTATATACGATTTTATATTTATTATATAATACATTTAATTTTTATAATTATATCTTGTGAAATTCTTTCTACATTCAAACGTACAGTCCACTCATCTTATTCTTTATCCTCGACATAGCTAAAACTTAAGACAAAACAAAACCACGAACGTTAACGAACCCGCGTGAATACCACCGGGCGCTGCGTTCATTCAATATTACCTTTTCCTATAATAGAATTCTACTATGTTCTATTTTGTTAGTATTAAAATACAAACTTCACCATTACATGTATAAAATAAATAGTACTTGTATAAAATATTTCCTAAAAATCTAACAACTGAAGAATACTACAATATAATAAAGTGTAAAAATATTTAATTCCTTTTTAAAATTAAGTTTTACTTGAAAATAATTACTTTAATTTTATAATTATAATTTAAATAATAATAATCTTACAATAGTTATAATTATAAGATATGTTCATGTATAAAAAAACTAAAATGCTCTTATACTTGTAATTTAACTCGTANAAACTAAAATGCTCTTATACTTGTAATTTAACTCGTAATTTTAACAACACTATTTTTTAGCCAATTTAAAAACATAATTCGATACATAAAATGACAATAATAAAGGCAAAAATGATCATGTGACAATTATTAAAACATGTTATTATAAAAAGTTATCATAATAATCTAATTAAGAGTTGGATTATATTAGAAAAGGGTATAATATATCTTTTCATAACCCTTAAAATTATTATACTGTATGATCCTTGAGGATCCGTATACTTTGGACCTCCCGTAAAATAATCTAGATGCGGCCTTGTGGGGATCCCATATCTTTCTAAAATAAATTTAAAGTTCCAGTCTTGTCTTAAATTACCTTAAAATGTGAAATGCGGTGTAATAGAGACGTCGATTTAACAATGCCCGATAGCATCGCCCGTTTACTAGGTTTACTAGGTAGACATTTTTGATGAATATAATATTCTTATAGCCACATGCAATGTTAAAAAATTCATGTAAATATCAGGTTTAAGAATAATTTTTAAATTAAATAGCTATGTCTTCCCATGGATTATACCACAAATTCTATAAACCAATATGATTTTTTTTATAAAAACAACTAAAATAAAATNTTTATAAAAACAAATTATTCAAACAACTAAAATAAATTTTTATCCGAGCGAAATTCTAAGACCGACTACAAACCCAACCCAACCGACATTTGGTCGCAATAAGACTATAATAGATTTTTATTGCCTATATGGAGAAAGCTAGTTAAGCAACTTTTAATTTTTAAAGGCGATTTTTTTCACTTTGAGCGTAATATCTTGTACTAGTTGTGATGTTACAAGAAACAAAAAAAAAAATTAATCAAAATAAAAAACAAGAAAAGAGCGTTAGTCAATTTAATACCTTCTCAGCTTCGTTCGTAGCTAAAATATTCCTGAATTAACTGAAACTGAAGGGTTCTAGTGTTGCGGTTTATTATTANGAATTAACTGAAACTGAAGGGTTCTAGTGTTCAGGTTTATTATCATAAATTTCTGCCTTCTTAGACAGTAATTTATAAATAATAATTAATTACTATGGTTACTTTTCTCCACATTTGTTTATAATACATAGATATCAATATTAATTTTTCTAAAGTGGTATAAATCAATGAACAAGTGATATTTTATGAAGATAATGAAATCGAAGAACACATTGTACATGAGTTTACGTAAATGTATGCGATTTTTTAAGAAAAAGAATGATACACCAGGTAAAGTATATTTGAAATTTATCTACAAGGGGAGGTCATGATGATGGGATTACCGATTTAACTAATGTGTAGGTCATACGGTTGGTAACGCGTATGTCTCACGCTCTAGAGATCGGGTTCGATTCCCGGAGACATTTTTTAGCATTTTTTTTTTAATTAANTCCCGGAGACATTTAGCATTTTTTTTTTAATTAAAAAATTTTTTTTACTAATAAAAAATGTCTGTAGGGCCAAAAGAGTAAAGATAAACTATAGTATATACACAATTATAACAATCAGATTACATTTAAAAACCAAAATCTAATAATATAATTTTTGACTAATGTTGAGCAAAAAAAAATATTATGGTGCTAAATGTTAAACACTAGGCACTACGAGACATACTCTCCCATAAATATCGCGACACTGTGTGGACGTGGCATAATTGAGACAAGTATAGATTATATCTGACAGTGATTAAAATCACAAATCATAAGAAACTTTTCGATGCAAATCCGTAGATAATGTTTAATTTTAAGAAATTGGTGGATTATTCCAAAAGCAAAATCAACTTATATTTCATTTATTATTCCTAATAAACAGCACTACATATAATGGCTATTTGTAACATAATTGTTGACTAATGTTGAATAAAATAATATTTGTTATGTCGAATTAAATGCTGTTCGTTTATTACAAAGAAAAATTATTTTTAAAATAAATTGGCTATAGAGTCTGTTTTATTATCCTGGCTATTATACTGAGCAATTTATTATCATTTTTACGATTAATAAATCTCTGAAATTACCGTGGATTAGTTTTTCAACTATTCTGCGTTTTCTCAAAATGTTAATTATTACAGTTTTTTGACATTTTTTTACAACGAGCTCTCAAATTTAAAAACAATGATACATTATTTGGCATGTGAAATATATTAGATAACAATATAACAAATACATTATGTTTTCAGTCGTGATGTATTGGATTATATTGTAATAATTTTTATAAGTCGTTAACCTATTCATTTTTTTTAGGGTCTTCAAAGTGTTCATTAGTAGAAAAAAACACTTCTACAAAAAAAAATACCCTGGAGGCTCTATTAAAGACTTTGGAAGTAATGAAAAATGTAACAGATGAAATAAAAAATATAAATATAGAGATCCAAAATGGTTTAAAAGAAATTAAAAATACCTCGAATGATATCAAAATAGCTTTAGAAATAGTTCAAAATTCTACTGATAACATTAAAAAAGATTTGGAAAACTTGATGATAAGTTCCTATAAAAATGATGCAAATACCGATATAGCCTCCGAATCACGGAAAAATGAGGAAACTAATATAATGGGAAAGATTGAAAATGGTAAAAAAGTTTTTGTATTGAAATACAAAATTTTATATTCTAATCCTAATTAATAGTATTGATATCCACAGCATTCTGACTTATGACTCACGCGACATTATTTATTTTACTCAAGATGTATTGGGTTATATTTTAATAATTTTAAATGTCTAACTAATTCGATTTTCTTAGGGTGTTCCACATGCTCGTTAGTTGAAAATGACACAACTTCTAAAAAAAGTACTACAGAGGTTTTGTTAAAAGATTCGGAAGAAATTAACAATGCTTCTGAAGAGACAAAAAACAATTCAGAAGTTACCAAAATTATTTCAGAAGTAATTCGAAATTCTGTCGACCAAATCTTACAAGATTTGGAAAACTTCATGGGTTCCTACAAATATCACGGAATGATTGATTCGGATCCATCCTTGAAATCAAAATTTACATTAAACGATCATATTAAGATTGATAATTTAACAGCTGCTTCTTCTGATATAGCGTCTGTATTTAGAGCTGAGGAAGCTAATATAATGGAAAATAATGAGACTACTATGCCTTGTCGGTTAGAAGGATATATTTTAAATTATCCAAATGATATGATGAAAGGTCGTTTATATAATTCATTAGATGGACTACACTACGAATTCGATTTAGTATGGGAATTTTAACTTAAAATTGTACTATATCATGAAATATTTTAATTATTTTTGTTCTAGGATGAT